TATTATAATTGCAAGTACGTTTCATCAAAAAAAAATCATGTATCGTTAAACAAATAAAACTGTGCCTTAAAGATAAAATGACCTTAGCACAAAAAGGTTCACTTCTCAGCCTTATGGCATAAATAACTATTAAATTAAATAATATACAACAAAAATAATTTGAAACATAAGTCATCTGACTAGATAATTTAGATAAAATTGGTGGCCCAAGGCTAATCCAGACATCTAAATTATTCCTTGTTCCTATTTCTGATATCTACTCCTTTATAATTGCTGCTGTAGCAGTACGATCTTGATCCCACTTTTGCGCTCGTCCGTTGTTGCCATCATATTTTATGCCTGCCGTCCCTTTATTTGCTCTTATTAAATAAACCGGCCGCGCAATCTGATTGGAATTGACATTTAATAATGAACATAAAGGCTTACCTACTGTTTTTCTTTTGAGATTCCGCTGTACATTTATAAACAAATCCTTAAAAATAACTATTAAAACAACGTAAGAATTAAAATCACATTTTTTTTATGTATATACAATAGGGTGATGCAAAAAAAAATTTTTTTTGAATTCTATGCGAGACCACTCGGGTTTTCAAAGAGTATCAAGAAAATAAAAATCTGTAAAAATTTCAGAGAAATCAATTAAAATTTAGAGGTCGCTCAACACAATTGTTTAATTTAGAAAAATCACGCATCTCAAATGCATTGCTATAAACAAGTAGGCATATTTCATACAAATTTGAATGAAAATGGTTGAATTTTTTTTTGATGGACCCTTAATGATTATTCTAATAAATAATGTTGTCCCGGTTTCAAAAAATTTTTCATAATATTTAAAAAATATATATTAATTAGCAAATATAGCTTAGTTAACAAATAATTCATTCAATTTTTTTTTTGTTTCAAAATCTGTAAAAACATTGTTAATAGGTCTACAAGCAATTATTTATTCACAAAAACACTCGCCCCCATCGTTAAATATGAGAAAAAAAATAATATTTTAATTAACTACACTTCGCGTCAAATTTAACGCACCACTAAAAGTTTGTCACATTTTCAAAGTTGATTTTCTCGCGAACCGTCAAACCGAATTTAGTGATTTTTATAATAAATTGTAGGTTTATTCTTCGGTAATAATGCGTTCATTAAAATATTTTTTTAAATTAACATTTTGAGTATATACAGGGTGCAAGAGTGATATAAAGTTTTTTCCCGGAAATTTAAAACGCCCTGTGGATTGTACCAGCTATAACAGCATATGTATCTTATAATCAAACTATAGCCACATCTTCTCTTAACATTTTGTTTTTTGATTTATCGCGTTATCTTTATTTTTAAATGAAATATACAGTTAAAGATTAAAGAACTCCAGTTTAATACAAAAATGTAAAAAGAACTATTGTAACAATAACAACAAAAATATTAACAAAATCAATAAAACCAACATTAAAGAATATCAATATCGCATATTTCTGCCTCTACTTCTAATTACGGCTTCACATCGACGGCTTACACTCGAAACCAGATGTCTAATCTCGTCTTGATCAATGACATTTCATATTTCTCGTAGCATATTTGCTACGTTATCAAGGGAGGCAGGCAAGGAATCATGATTTCTTAGTCGTCTACCCATATTATCCCACAAATGCTCGATGGAGTTGAGATCTGGACTATTTGCAGGCCAGTCTAAAGTTTTAACACCCACCTCATGTAAGTACTCTTGCACTATATAGCATTATCCTGCATCAGTAAAAAATTATTACCGGGCGAAAGGGACAACATGCTCAAATAAAATGTCCTCGATATATCATACACTATTCATGGTACCTTAATCTTTAAATGTATATTTCATTTAAAAATAAAGATAACCCGGTGAATAAAAATACAAAATGTTAATAAAACATGGGGCTATAGTTTGATTGTAAGAGACATATGCTGTTATAGCTGGTACAACCAACAGGACGTTTCAAATTTCTGGAAAAAAACTAATTATTACACTTGCACCCTATATATACTCAAAATGTTAATTTAAACAAATATTTTAATGAACGCATTATTACCGAAGAATAAACCTACAATTTATTATAAAAATCACTAAATTCGGTTTGACGGTTCGCGAGAAAATCAACTTTGAAAATGTGACAAACTTTTAGTGGTGCGTTAAATTTGACGCGAAGTGTAGTTAATTAAAATATTATTTTTTTTCTCATATTTAACGATGGGGGCGAGTGTTTTTGTGAATAAATAATTGCTTGTAGACCTATTAACAATGTTTTTACAGATTTTGAAACAAAAAAAAAATTGAATGAATTATTTGTTAACTAAGCTATATTTGCTAATTAATATATATTTTTTAAATATTATGAAACATTTTTTGAAACCGGGACAACATTATTTATTAGAATAATCATTAAGGGTCCATCAAAAAAAAATTATATATGTATATACTCAAAACTTAAATTTAAAAGAATTTTTTAATAAAGGCATCATAACCAAAGAATAAACGTCAATTTTAAAACAAAAATTACCAAATTCGGTTTGACGGTTCGCGAGAAAATCAACTTTGAAAATGTGACAAACTTTTAGTGGTGCGTTAAATTTGACGCGAAGTGTAGTTAATTAAAATATTATTTTTTTTCTCATATTTAACGATGGCGGCGAGTGTTTTTGTAAATGAATAATTGCTTGTAGACCTATTAACAATGTTTTTACAGATTTTGAAACAAAAAAAAAATTTAATGAATTATTTGTTAACTAAGCTATATTTGCTAATTAATATATATTTTTTAAATATTATGAACAATTTTTTGAAATCAGGACATTATTATTTATTAGAATAATCATTAAGAGTCCAACAAAAAAAAATTCAACCATTTTCATTCAAATTTGTATGAAATATGCCTACTTGTTTATAGCAATGCATTTAAGATGCGTGATTTTTCTAAATTAAACAATTGCGTTGAGCGACCTCTAAATTTTAATTGATTTCTCTCAAATTTTTACAGATTTTTATTTTCTTGATACTCTTTGAAATCCCGAGTGGTCTCGCATAGAATTCAAAAAAAAATTTTTTTTGCATCACCCTAATATACAAGGTGTATTCAGAAAATAACGGTAATTTTCGTCATCTATAGAGCATATATGCTTGCAAAACGACGGCCCTTTGAGGTTCTCTTTATTTTTGGAATAGGAAAAAATCACACGAAGCCATGTCTGGTGAATATAGAGGCTGGGGCATCATTACAGTATTCGCCAAGCTCATACAAACACGTCTAACTTTAGCGGTTGCTACAGACAAAGTAAACAATGAAAACAGCTAAAGTTTTAATCATGTTTCAGGGACATGTATACCAACATAATAAAGAAAATTTTATGACAACCGGACTCTCTGAACCTGCGAAATTTAAAAATTCCCGTTCTTTTCTGAATACACCTCGTATAGTAAGCGTACAAACCCCCCAGCAAGGAATATGTAAAAGTTACACCCCCAGTGATAAATGAAATATAACACCACGGAAAATATTATATTAAATTAACACAAATAAATAAAATAAATAATTACGGTAATAAAGCTCATTAATAACCCAAGGTACTTTTGAGATTTTGTATTCATAAGAAAAGTATTAAAAGGGAAATTATAAATACAGTAAATAAAATACAATAAATTACGTTTGAACTTAGGTCAAACACCCGGAAGGCTCCCGTTTATTTTTATATAAATATATCTCATAAAACCTTCTAAAATGAGGGATAATGGGAGAGAGTTAAACGTATAAAACATTTATAATTTATAACAAACAATAATGATATTTATTTGGATAAAGCAACAACAATAACCGTAACCCAAATTACATTTAAGCTATTTTTCTGAAAGAGAACTCTTAAAGAAAGGGACATCCTACAAACCCTTAAAGCCTGAATTATAGATTGCCTTCCTTCCTTCCTTTCGTAGAAGATGAACAATACGAAAATCGTAGTGCCATTTATAGATTTCCGTACGGGACAACAGGTTTTTATATTGTTCATCTTCATTTAGGAAGCATAATAACAAAATTAAATTCTGTGGAGTCAAAATTGACCCTTCCATACTACTTATGCCGAGTTTTTCGTATTCGGATCCTCCGAATAGTAGTTTTAATATTCGTATTCGTAAAAGTACTATTCGTACTAACATAATAATAATCTAAAAAATATACATTTCCATTGTAATTTTTTAAGATTATAGTACATATATCTAAAATTTGAATTGATTTTGAATTATTTCTTCAAATGGGAAATATGAGTATTTTTTTCTTTGTAGGCACAATTAAATTTATTTTTGAGAGAACATTTAACATGTTTTGCTATTTGGGTTATGAATATAAAACATAAAATATAAAAGGTTTACCTTTAAATATGTATAACAATAAAGAATATTATATTATTATAATTTAATAGCTTTGTAAATTGCTTATAAACAGTAATATTTATTTAAATTTATAATAATAATAATAATATTAATACGAGTAGTAATAATAATAATACAAAGTATTTATTTAGTAAATAAGTTTACATAAATTTTTGGGCGAAGTCAAGCCAAGGCTACTTTACTTAACCCAACCCAAAATCAAATAATAATTACAAATGAAAAAAAAAATGTATTAAAAATACCAAAAATATAAAATAAATAAATCAATCAGTCATCTAGAAATAAATATTTAAGTTTTTTTTAATACAGACAGAATAATTTGAAAGTTTAATTTGATCATCTATATTATTGAAAACAACAACTTCATTGTAACTAAAAGATCGTTTAAACATGGCAGAATTAAAATGAGGCAAATTGAATTTTCAAACACACCTAAGGTTGATACTATGCAATTCATTTCGAAATAAAAGTTTTTCCCTTAAATAATTTCGATTATTAAATAACAAAATTTTGTAAACATATACTGCAAGATAAAGATTGTATTGCTTATCAAATTTTTTTAATAAAAAAAACATAAATTTATGTTTTGTTTTAGGATTTATGTGCCAGACCTGGTTTTATTCAAGATGGTCCCACCCAATTCGACATTTCTCCAGGAAAAATGGGTAAGTAGCATTAGTCACTTTCCTTAAATATTTAGTAATTACTTTTAAATGAGATAAACAGCTTTGTTTTATAAAACTATAGTGTGTAACAAGCCGTTAAACATATATCTGCTTGTAATTATTTAGCATTTATGAAAGTGTTGTTTGAAAGTTATTTTTATGACTTTATATTACCTACATAATTACCACCAAACAAACGTATATTAGGATAATTAGTAAAAATTATTAATAAAACCATGTAAACCAACATTTATAATAAAAGCTTACTAATTTTATATGAGGCGCCGTTTGTCCGTAAATTATTTTTGCTATAAATAAGAATATTTTTTATATATAAACTTTAAATTTCCTATATTATATAGAAACTTTTTAGTTCAGATAATGCCGCTTGAGAATGAGGGCGCTCTGTAGTATTGAACTAAAAAGCACTGTTGCCAATGCAAAGTTTTGGTCAGTGTTTCCAACATAACGGATCTTCGGCCAGATCTAGCGGAACAAAATGATAGCAAAAAGTATAGGATTTTAGTTTTTTTTAAATACTTATAGGTAATATATTGGTCGGTTGGTCTATTTTTATTGAAGAAAACATTTCTCTTCTTTGGCCGTCTCTATTTCTCTAAATAAACACGGCTTCGTTTTATTTTATTTTTAATTTATAAAAAAACAAAAAATCTTTTTTTTTAAACTTGGACTCTTACAAATTAAATTATATAGGTACAAATACCATTCGATATTATGTTCAAGTTTCCGTTAAAAAATCCGTGAGCCGTAAGAGTATCTTTTTCCCCTCGACCTTTATTAAAATCTGCCAGATCTGGCGAAACGTTATGTTGGAAACACTGACCAAAACTTTGCATTGGCACACTCTGGCAACAGTGCTTTTTAGTTGAAAACCGCAAAGCGCCCTCATTCTCAAGCGGCATTATCTGAACTAAAAAGTTTCTATATAATATAGGAAATTTAAAGTTTATATATAAAAAATATTCTTATATATAGCAAAAATAATTTACGGACAAACGGCGCCTCATAATTTTAACTTTGTGTCGTGTTAAATTATAATTTTATCAAATTAATTTAATTTTTAATATGAAGTCTTTCTATATACAATATAGGCTTACATTTTTTTTATCTCAGCTAAAGAACCGGAAACTTAAGAAACCAGTATGCCTAGATGAAAGTAAATGAATTTTAATTTTCTTACGCAGCTAACTAATTTAAAATGACCTCGTTTCTTATGCAATTTTTAAATTTTAGTTTTAATTTTTTATTTCGTTTAACCATTTAAAAGCGGCGTACACTAGATTTTGATAAGTGAATATTTTATTAGAATTATTAATAAATAATTTTGTTGTTTGAACATAAGAAGTTTTTTCTAAAAATACTTTATGTTTATTTTAAATCTCGAAATTTAAGGGTAAAACTATTTTAATTTTTTTTTTACTATAAAAAATAACACGTGACCACTGCAGGTCTACCAAAAAGTGACCGACGAGTAGCAGGCTTCATTTTACCTTTTCTATAGGGGTTTTTAATGGTGCTTAATCCGAAAAAGATTACAGTAGATGATACTTTTTGTTTTTTTTCTCAAATAATCACAAATTGCAGAGAGTTTCACACTAAATCAGATAGTACCCTTGGTACTATACAGCTAAAACCGTCTTAATATCTATACCCAAAAATAAGGAGAATATTTATTTTTACAATTGATTACAGCAAAATATGGATAAGTTCAATTGACTTTTAACTAAACATTAAAAGGGTTTTTTAAATGACTGGTATTTTAAAAAAAATTGGACAAACAGGTCGGATAAAAAACCTTTTTAATGACCACCAAATAAATTAATTTATAAATAATAATTATCATAAAAAAATTGTGATTGTGTTTAAATTAATTATTTATCCCAGAAAACTAAATAAAAGGCAATAAAAACAAATAAATAAAAGGTAACAAAAAATATATAAAAGAGGTATTTGAAGTTATTTTGGTAAATCTAGAAAATCTAACATAAAAGCAAAAAAAAATATTTAAAAAAGCTTAAAATAGGTCTATCGCAACCAAAAATCTTTTTCGTATTCAACACCACCAAAAATGAAGCCTGCAACTTGTGTGATTAAAAGAAAAAAAATGAGAACAGAATGGTATGTAAATGGTAAGTATTATTATTATTTTCCAAACATTATTAACAACATTTGAAAATTAACTTTTAAAATTTGACAAAAAATATATATTTTTTAATTAAATCTTAAGAAAGAACATAAGCATTTATGTAGTATACCTATTGGTAGGTATTTTTTTACAGTAACCAGGCCCGTAGCTAGGAGGGCGCCAAGGGGGATTAAGCCCCTAGCAGTGGTCTGAGCCTCCCTACAGAAAATACAACTTTACAGCACTTTGCGAATCAAATTTGTTTGTATTGACAAGAATAGATAGACCTCAAAGAAGATTCATAACCTTGTTATTTAAACATAAAAGAGACAAAAACATTGATATTGATATGATTGGTTTTATTTAAATTATTGTTTATTGTTTTAAATATATTTATATTTTATTTGGCATACTTTTATAACTAAACAATATTGTTTTTTTAACATAGCGTACATGAAAAACACCATTGATGTGCAGAATTCTAATCAACTCATACAATATGAACGCTTGCGTCAAGGACAATGTACGACTTAAAATCATACAATTTATAATAAAACCTCACGGGTTACTTTGACAGCACTGGTTATTTTTGTCACACCAATGAGTAGTGCCAGAAACTATTGTGAGCAATATTCTGCACATTAAATATTATTTTTAATAGTTTATTTTCTCCGTATATTCACATTTTGCGTGAGATTTTTATTTTTTTACTTGTAACAAAACTTACATGTTTCTACAACTTTTATACACCTATTTATAAATGAAGTATAATTTTAAGCCTTCCCTAGAATTCCCTCAGCCCCGCCTAAAATGTCAGACTGGCTACGAGCCTGACAGCAACTGTAAAAAATTACTGCTGTTAGCTTTTTTAACATTTTGCCACCCGCTTTGGGTCTAAGCCTATAAAGGGTGGTGCGAATTTCATTTCTCACCGGTAATGACAGACGCCTTTAGCCGAATCATAGGCAGCTGAGAAAATTAGGACATAAAGGACATACTTACGTAAAAATTAATAAAGTTTGGAGCATCGATAGGGTCACAAAATGGGTCCCGAAAATGTTCAGTATCGGTACATACCAAATCAAAAATAAATTTCTCGAAACTGCAATAACAATAATAATAATAATAATAATATTAATAATAATAATAATAAAAGGCCACGACATGGCAAAGAGGTTCCATGGTGGAACAATGAAATTAAAATCCTTATAAAGGAAAAAAAGAAAGCGTTCAATTTCTTTAAAAGGCACAGGACGGCTGAAAATTTGATTCCTTTCAAACTGTCAAGAGCCAAGGCTAGACGTGCAGTCAATAAATATAAAAGAAGTACATGGGAAAATTACGTGGCCAGCATCACTCCCGAGACTCCTACTTCTCTTGTATTGAAGAAAATACAAAAAATTTCAGGGCAACAACGAAATAATAACATACCATACCTAAAAAAAGGTCAGCAGTTAAAATAATTATGATCCAGGTTTTACGGAACACAGGGCAAATAAACTGCGCACCACTCAATGTTTCGCGACCAAAAAGTTCGTCCTTTTTCAAAACGACATAACTTTTTTGTTTCTTAAACGATTTTATTTTGGTTTGTGATATCTGCTAGCCCCATTCTCTGGAAATTCATGATATAGATATGAAGCTCACGGTTCTTCAAGTAAATTTCCTACAGGGTGATATGTAAAACGGTGAAAAATTTCAATAACTTTATCCAAGCCCCGTTTGTAAAAAAAATATTTTTTTCTCGTTTTTACTTTGAAATAATGTCTTACCTTAAAACGTTTTTCAAATTTTTCGAATTGGAATCTTAAGAGTCTGGCACTACCTAACGCGATATCTTCCGTGATAGGTGTCCAAGAGGATTTTCCTCTCCGGTTACGGTGCCAATGGCAATAATAATAATAATAATAATAATAATAATAATAATAATAATAATAATAATAATAATAATAATAAAAAGTTGCGCTATTTTATGAGTATTTGTCAAGAAATCTAGGATACCTTTGACCGTTTCTAAAATATCCTAAAAAAACTGAAAAACTCAAATTCAAAAAATCCTTTATAACTTTTTTTACTATTGCAACTATCAATTTAAAACTTGTTTTTTTGACATTGTTTGAAATATATATATATATATATATATATATATATATTGTTATTAATAGATCAGGGATTAAACTGTGTAAAATCAATTATTTGGTGGGATTTTGTGGACACAAAAAATTGTTATTTTTGCTTAAAAAAGTGGATTTTTTGCATAACAACAATCAAAATGTCCACCTACTAATGTAATTTAATAATAAAACTATTTTTTGTTTAACAGTCTCAAAATTAAAAAGTATTTTATATAAATATATTATTTACTTATTGCATTTAAAATCAGTTCAAAATCAGACGTAAAAGCGAATAGATTTGTGAGCTCGAGCGCTCTTGGGTGCCTAACCACAATAAAAGTCTCAAAGAAACATAAAAATCGCTCATATACCTACGGTGTAGTTCAAGAAAAAACGGTTTGAAATTAGTGCTACTAGTTTTACTACCTGTGTAGGTAAAATCAGTGCTACTAGTTTATTACCTGAGCGGGTGAAATCAGTGTACCTGTTCCCAGAGTCTTGATAAAAACATTAAATAGTGCCTCCCAGCAAGTGAACACGGGGACACGGATGTAATTATGTGACACGGGACAGTTCAAGGAATCACCTACTCTCTTAAAATTAATTAGTCAAAAATAACTAAGTAATTATAAGTCATAATTGACTAATTGTCATAGTGAAAAAGCAGTCACTAATAATTAGTCAAATTCTACTAAGTGAAATAGTCAATTTAGCAGATTTAAATTTAAAAAAGTTTTGAC